GGTTTTATCGTGCAATCTGCGAGGGCAAGGTAATAATTGATGAGAAATATTCATTATTTATTCTCATTTATTTACAGTACCCTACAGAGCGTCAAGGGGCATTGTGTAAGGGTGGTGGTGCAGATAATAGATTTCATTGATATGTGGGGTTTAACGTCCCAAAACCACCATATGATTATGAGAGGACACCGTAGTGGAGGGCTTCCGGAAATTTAGACCACCTGGGGTCTTTAACGTGCACCCAAATCTGAGCACACGGACCTACAACATTTCCGCCTCCATCGGAAATGCAGCCGCCGCAGCCGGTATTTGATCGTGCGACCTACGGGTCAGCAGCCGGGTACCGTAGCACTAGACCACCGCCGCGGGCAGTGCAGATAATAGGTTTATATAATAATATATATATATAGATATATATATATATATATCTATATATATATAATATATATATATATATTATATATATGCAAATAATCATTATTATAGAGAATGGATTTCATTTTATGAAGATGTACGACTTATAGATACTAGGAAAGTAACTTAGAATATGTGAAGGGGTGAAGGGGAAATACAAAAAATTTTTGACAGTAACTACAAACTAGAAATCGTCCAAAAAAAAGAACACTGACAAAAGAGTTCGCTGTAAATAAATTTACAGAATGCAAAACAATCAGGAGGAAAGGAGGATAAAAAAACATCAGCAACAGTCCCATAGGCACAGATGATTATTAAGATGCGATGTAGCAGTTTCGGTGCATAAGTACTTTTAGAGTAAGACTAAACTTTGTGTGGTCTTGCTCTGACGCAAGATCCTTTGAACGTCATTCCACTTACGAATACTTCGTGGAAGAGCCGACTGATAAAAAGCGTTATTATTTGCCGTACATGCGTGATTAGCTGCAGCTTTTATGTAGTCTGTTCGAAGTTCGATGTACGAGATTAAGGTGAAAAGATGGCATCATGCTGGTGTGTATGAGTTTGTGGAATAATAAAAGTGAAATGTCGCGGCGATTTTTCAGTGGCTAGAGTGCAAGACTATGTTCAATCTGTGTTACGCAAGACGGGTGGCTGTGATTACGAGCTATGAATCGACTAGCTCCGTTTCGCATACATTCTAACTTATCTATGAGGTATGGTTGATATGGTGACCAAATGAAGGATGCGAGCTTATGTTGAGGATGGATTAGAGCAAAATAAGCCAGTATACATACCTCAGAGGGAAGACTGTATAGGATACAGCGCAGAAAACCTGATGATTTTGATGTCTTGGCACGATAAAAGTGATATGTGTGGACCACTAGTCCCATCTCTCTAGACGTCTTAATCAAAAGGCACGTGTGATCGGACTATTACTACTCACGTAAACTTAGCTTTGGTCACTGCGTATATGCGCTCAAACGCCTAAATACGCGAAAAACGCGGTATGTTCTGGTTTTTTTTTCGTAGCTTTCTTCACTCGGCTCCCTCAAACGATAGCGTTGCAGCAAGGTGTCTTCCGTTGTTTGCAAGCGTGCCACCGACTTTTTCTTTTACCTGAACAGATTCAGAACTGTACATATTATTTCCGCGTGCAGCATACGTGTATTTAGGTTTCCAGCACTTACACCAAGGTGAACAGGAGCAGCCTAGAACCACACAAAATCTTCAGTGATCGGTTCACCAGTGATGAAGGAATAAACTCCGGAGTTGGCCAGAGCGAGTACATCATAATCCATTTCTCAGAACGCGTGAACTCCGGCGAGAACTGCCAGCGCATGCAGCCCGAGTTTACTTACGCTCTAGTGTGCACCGTCCATGCCTGTTGGTTGTCTATTTCGGGCATTCCGATGCGAGTCAATGAAATTTCTTTACTGTCATCACCTCCTTCACGTTCATTCACGTTTGTGGTATTTTATTATAACGCCACAGAAACTACCAGCCTTCTGTATGGGCGCAATCACAAACGTGAGACGTCTCGCGCGCAGAGTAAGATACTGGGCGAGGGCGACCTTACCGGCACCTGAAGGGAAGCGGAGGAAAGTATAGCTGTGAATCTTCACGCCAGGTGGAGAAACTAGCACTAGTGTTTAAGCGGAACTTTACCAGCCGGCATGTATCGTCGCTAAAGTTCTCGTTTCTCGCATTCAGGGTAACTGCCCGAACATTGCTGAGCTCCCTGCTTCCCAGCGATGCGAAACCGCCCCCTTGAAATGCGCTGCCTACACGAATTGCTTGTAGCTCGTGTCCTGGGTCGATCGGCGCACTTTCATGAAACTCGATGGTCACGCTGAAACACCGTACGGTATAACGCTTGAACGTTATTTCCCGAAAAGCGACGCTGATCCCAGTGCGCCCTTGATAACTGGCGAAAATGAGAATGCCACTTGTCACAGGCAGGCAGGTTCATCGAAGTAACGTGCCAGTGGCGGGCGTGGAAGAGCACTTTAGGCTTTCAATATTTTAGCCTTTTCTGGACTATTTAATAGACCACTTCATTGAGTGCTTTAAAAGGCATCGACACACCTTGAAGATTATTTCTTCTCTTCTGCAGGACGCTTTTGTTTTCATCGCTGGGACGCCTTAAATTGTACCTGGGAGCTACAGCAACAAATGACTGATTGTATGGTATCGCTTCTGAACATCCACTATGAAATAAATGTCCACCCGGAAGACATTTTCTCTGTTATTTATTGGGAACGTAGATGGCTTCAGCCGAAACTCTCAGTTATATAAACCATAAGCGCAAGCTCATCGTAGATGAAAGTTAACTGAAGTGATCCTTCGATTAAGATGTTCTGAACAAAAGTAAAAACATAGTCGTTAATGATCGATTGATGGGTTTTAAAAAATTTAAGATCACAATATGACTGCGAGAGACACCGTAGTGGGGTGCTCCTGAAATTTTACCACCTTGGTTCATTACTATGCACCTAAATCAAAGGCGCATGGGCCTCAAGTATTTTTGCCTACGTCAAAAGTGCGACAGGGATTCGATCCCACTACCAGCGGGTCAGCAATAGAGCACCATAAACCACTGGACCACCCTGGCGGGTAGTAAAAAAGATGGCTTTGGTAAAATCATATGCGCTACTTTCCGTCCAGCTGTAAGGAAACAAGTTCAACTGTATGAGGACATATTGCTGAAACTCAATTTGCCAGCATGAAAGAGTGGTTCCTTTCTCTCCCGTCGCCTACTCCTTGCTTTGTCAGTGGGCACCTTTCACTTGCCAGAAGGGTTAGGCGGAGATACTGAACAGGTTGTGAACGCACAATGCCAACAACCCAAATTTAGCACCCTGTCGGAAATTATCCGCAAATTTTGGGGTAACCTATGGGGCCTATACGGTGACCTGTAACGCGCCCAGGAATAAGCTTTGTTGCAATTGAAAATGATAATCAACAATATTCCGCCTATATCTGTTTTTAACGGCGTGAGAGATTGCTTGGCACAGAGTTTACTTTCATTTCTTTTAAAAATTACAGTTACACTTTAACATTGCTCGTAATTTTACCACGATAACACGCCCCCCCATGTTTCTCCATTCTGTGCATTTTTGGCGTGAGTCCTGTCTCTAGTTGTAGAAATGGTTCAGTGTGCCACTTCTAGTCATGTCCATATAAAAAAAAACGAAGAGCTGCAACAAACCCACTAATATTATAAATTTGTCATATATTTTTTTCAGCTTTATGCTCCTCATTCTAGCGCTGTTTGCTACAGTGCTGAACAATAAAGCTCGTGCTTGCTACGTATACAGCGGCCCACACTGCATTTCTCATTATGCTGCTTTAGGGTTATGACCACCATCTTTTTATTCATGTGCCTAAGGTACATGATGAATATTTCAGTAGGCTTTTCTAAGGCTGTGTTTATCCTGCCGTTTGCCTGTGTTGCACCTTCGTCACCGGACACTTCGGAGTGCCTCAGACGCTAGGGCATAATAAAGATGTGTATAAATATATGTACACTCGCATACAATTCGAGTTAGATGCATAAACCGAATATTCTGTCATGCACGTGCGCGTGTGTGTTTAGATGTAAGCAGAACGTGCGAAGGTTCAATAGAAATGTTATTCTCTGGCTTGAGTGCATCTTAGCAGACGTACGAAGAGTCACATTGTAATATGCTTGAACATGGCCTATGAGACCCTGGAACTGTGTCCGGCTATTTCCAATAAAACGAACCTCTGCCTATTGGAAATCATTGTAGTGATTGATTTCGGCAAGATATGTTTCGGCGGGTACAAGTATGATCACCGCTTGAGCATTATTCGCATCACCAAGCCAACTTATAACACTCGCGGCCGAGATTCCTGGCCAAAATCTCACAGAATGCTAAGGCTTCAGAAACACCGCGACACGTTTTTTCGTATGCAGACATTATTCATTCTAAAAGCGCCCAGCAATGATATTGTGATAGTAGCAGCGCTTGGTTTCTAACTCATGTCAGCGCGAAGCGACAAAAAAAAATAAGTTGAGTAAGTTGTAGGGCGGTGGGTGTTGGACGAAAAATTTGAGTGGGGGGGTTGAAGCCTCCCTCCTTCCTTGGATACGCCACTGAAGCTTCTAAGCACCAGTGATTATTCTCATGTTGCTCAGTAACAGATTATATACTGTGATAAACTGTACAAGAAAATTTCACCGACTCTGGGACCATTATGATTAATTTCCATTTTCATATTGCACACCTCTGTGCGCATAGCTCTACTCATTGGCTAAGAGAATGGCGGGAGAGGAGATTCAACATGTGTTCATTGCCTTTCGAAAGGTCTACAAGCGGTTCACACCACATCTGTGAGTTCACAAAAGAAACGAAGTTTTGTTTTAATTCATCAAGAAGTCATGCGTCATATCACACTAGCCCTGCCGCTAGTTTCAAGTGCGTTTTTCGGAAATGTCACCGACATGCAGAATTCAACAGGTAATATTTGAGTCGCCAAGCAAACGTCCACGTGTTTGCTTTGTATGTGTGGTCGTGATCTTGACGCCAAATGGACTATTGAAATCAATCTTGTCATATGACATGCTTATTGTGAGCTTCGTTAGTTCTACTGGTGTTCCCTAACTCACTTTTAATGGCTTAAAAAAGCAATAGTTACTGGAATATCTTCACTAAATTAAAGGGGCTGCACAGGTCATTTGGCATTTGCCTGCTGCAGAGAAGCGATATAACAGGTATCGTTTCCCGACACTCAACCGGGTTCTCTTTTACCCTGTACGTCCAGGCTGGGCCATCTATTGCTGGCGCTGCAACTCGGCCTACGACCCCAACTGCGCCGACCCGTTCAACAACATCACCTCGGATCTTGTGAACTGTGACATGCGCGTCAAGGAACACCTTCCTACGGGTACCCGGGCGCAAGTGTGCCGAAAGATTGTGCAGAAAGATGGGGAACAGTACGACTGTACTTCGTGGAAGTGCCAATTGGTGTTTATGCTACTTTTTCTGCGTGTACATGTGACGAGAGATGTTATAAATGGTGCACAGACAATCAACTTTCTGACATGCCATTTCTGCGGCGTGTCATTATACTGGGACTGGCCCCCTTTAAAAACACTTGTCTTATGTCACCGTTCGAAGTTGCCATGAGAACGCGACTAAGGCACGTCTCAGGTTTCTATGAGCAATCCGCCTCATTTTACAAGCCAGACTATTCTACCTTTGTGCATGTGTGCGTGCTTCTATATATCGGTAATCCTTCTCATTATTATCATTTTTTCCTTTGTGTTTCTACTCACCCATTTCCCATTGCATTGTAGCAAATCGGCTGTCTACCTTGCGGTTTACTTTCATGTCCTCTGCGTAACATTTATGATTATGTCTTTTATGCTCCGAAAGTTAAATTAACTCACTTAGAAGCGTTTCCACCGAGGCTGGTAGGTATGACCTTGCAAAGTGAAACGATGGACTACCTAGATGAACAGGGTTGAATTACTAAAGAACATAAAACGGACAAGGACCTTGCCGTCAAAGTTAGCCTAACACGTTTTTGGAGAAATATAATTGTCCATATTCGCGAAATAGTGGCAGAAATGGTAGAACGTACTAACAACTGCAAGGATCAGTTACGGTTGTATTCTGTTGCTTTCTATCCTTGAAACCTTTAATATATTTGTGCTAAGTACTATACTCATTTTTTTTTCATTTCTGTTTCACTCATTTCCAACTTTCTTCCACGTTTTGAGCGCTTCCTATGTGGTGACGCCTTGCTTCTTGTCTCGCAGTGTACAGCGACTATCGCACTGTGCGTGACTGCGGATGGCTCAAAAGCGACAAGGAAGGCACGGAGTGCATGCGCCGAGCCGGCACCTTCAGCGTGCTCATGAAGAACTGCAGCTGCGACAAGGACGGCTGCAACTGCGCCCGCCGGCCTACGGCCGTGTCCTCGTTGCTTATGGTGGCACCACCGTTGCTTCTGCTGCGCCTTTTCAAGTAGGAGCACGATGGCCCCGCACCGCGACGTCCCCCGTTGCGGGAGGGCGCGCACATCGCCGTGAAGAGCGACCACCGCTTCATGGCGTGCCAAAGCAACACGTGGCACGACGTTGCCATGGCATGTTATCGTGGCCTGGTGCATCGTGGCGTGGTGTGGTGATCGACAGGTCGGCTGCCTGCCCCCCGGTGTGACTTGGCCCGGGCAGCATGCGGCGGCATCAACGCGAGGACTACTCCGCGGTCTCGAAGGCGTGCAACGCCGCACAGAACGTGTGACCTGCCTCTGGACGCAAAATACCACGCCGAATATGTGTCAGGTGGCTTCGCGGAGGCCCATTCGACTTGGATGGTCCACGCGTGGTCATATGAGGCCGGTGGTCTGTAGTGTGTTTCTGTTGCCGGGTGTAAATTTGTCGCGATGCTGGAGGTTGTGCATTTTTAGGGAGGTAAAACACCACGAAGCTTCAGGGCGTCGATCATTCCGCAAGCGAACGGGCAAGGCGCTCTTGTATAGCTGTAGAAGAATGTATACACATAACGTGGCTGGCCACCTTGCGCGCCGCTGTTTCACGTTTGGGTGTCTCTCGGTGGTTTGTTCGGGTTTTATTTCTTGTATTGGTGCTGTCATTCACTTGTGAGAGCTCGAAGCAAGTAAGGGTCAAATGGGAGCAATGCAACAACAAGCTAGTCAAGAAAGTATCGCGTGACTTGCAAAGAACGCTGTACTCCGAAGCTAAGTTGTGCATGCTGATGCGCTGCTTCGAAGCGTTGTGAGCAGCCCCTTGAGAAAGCACCTTGAGGGAGTCGTTGCAATGCGCGAAGGAAAAAACGGGCATAGCCGCAAAATCTTCAAGGCTGATCAGTTGCTCAGCTGGAGCTATGCACCCAAGTAATCAGAGTTGGGAGCACATATAAAGTGACTGCTATAAACTGCCACGTCTCTCCCACGGTCGTGTCAAATCATAAAAAAAACATGAGCATTAGGGCAGAGCGCCTGGGCTGAAGAAATGTTCACACGAGTGCGGAAGTGCATTTGTTGCACGTTTGAACGGCACTTACCGATGGTCAAGGGATCTTCCCCTCCTTCACCAGGTGACGCTACCGAAAAAAAAGTAAAGGCTAAGACTCCCGTAAAACTTAAAGTTTGCCTGGGTGAATTATTGTTCCTATTTTTTTACTTTCTGCACACGCATGTTGTTAAGTTCATATCTGCGTTTCACCAAAGCCTTCAGGCCTAATCGCTGAGCATTGCACCTGGGATTATCCGCGCGGAGGTAACAATCTTGCCTGAAAACTGCCGCTATTTATTCTAATTATTTTTTGTGCTTCCAGTGTCAGACGACAAGTTCTACGGACACTAGAAACAAGTTTCTTGCGGTGTGACCGTATTGGCATTACTGTCATCCGCCCCTATTTCCTAGGTTCAAATAACTGATCCCAGTACGAAAAAATAGTAAAGGTTGAACTAGACGAAACCCATTGCCACCGGCATGCAGCCAAATGAGTATTCTTCATCGTTTAGGTTGTCTCAGCTGGGTTTATCTGCCTGCGAGATAACAGCGTGTGTAATACGTAACTCGACATTAGTTGGGTCATCATTGTGGCAAGCGACGTCTGAGTTGCTCTTTCAGATGAGTTCATCTATGCATAGGTACTGTGCTGCGTCTCCCCCGACAAGTCTGGTTGACCGCAAAGGTTTCGGCGCTGCACGCCGGCTCTTGTTGAGCCCGGCACGATCTCATGTCGAGGCAGCGTCGCCAAAAGGGGTAGCCTCTGACACTCGCGCACTCTCACGTAGCGCTCAAGGATGACATTCCGGAATACTTCACCTGTAGCACCAATGCTCACCGTGCGTCGCGAGCTTAGGACGAAACACTTATTTGTCGTGCGAGCGTAGTGATTAAGATCGACATGCGCTTTTGTGTAGTGGAGTCGCATTTATCAAAAAGTTTTACTTCCGCGAGCAAGTGGAAGCGAAGGTATCCGAGATTCCAGCCTTTTAAAGGTTTCAAGATGGCTGCGAAGAATCATGGTCAACAAGTCCCCAATTTTAAAGCAAATGACCTGAATGCCCCAATGTCACAAAGGCGCACGCTGGAATGGTGCAAGCTGTCTATATCGCCTACCTGTCATTCGCGATTTTTCACAAAAGCCTCAATATAGCATTGAACTCAATAGAGATTGATTCACTCAAGCTATAGTTAACTCATTTGTTCGTTCACGCATTTATTTTCACTTTAATGAATATGGATGGTATCAAGCTCAAAGGCGCCATTCGAGGCTTTCGAGATCCTCAGCCCCATATACTGTCACTTGCCGCTGAGGATATTACATGAATCGTTATACGTCTGGCGGCTTCAGCAGTCATATGTGCATCAGTTCAGGGAACGTGTACAAACGAAATGATCTACTCGCTTCCTTTCAGTCTTATTTTTGTATAGACTGTGTGACATCGGGGAAGTGACAGGAAAGAAAATATGCGAATAAGGCAACTTGCAGCTTGTTCAGTAGAAAAAAGGCTCTACATCGCGAAGATAGGCCTGGCACCTCCACATTTATCGCTCTCCACGACGCACTCGCAGCCCGTCGATAGTAATCCACGCCGTCGTCACTACTCCGCTTGTACATAGTGTGCATAGTTCGTGGCTATCCTGCTTTTCTCAGTGTTCATAGAACGCAGCACGTTCTTGTGTGGTAATGCAGCTTATTGTAGATGAAGACGCAGAGAATGCAAGCGAGCCGTGTTTGACCGTTGTTTTAGCTCCATTTGTTTCGAAGGGGAGTGGACTACACATGTCCGCACCAGCTTTCAATTATGCTCACATCGCACTAATGCGGGTTCAATCATGTTTCTGCAAAGCACAATGATGTACGACGCGTAGCGTGGATGATGCCTATTGTGGCCTGCAAACTACATAGAGGCCGTGAACCCTTGGTGTGCGGGTGTATCTTGTAGCGTATAAGTCTTTCGTGTGTTCTCTATCTCTCTTCGTGCCTAGTTGCTCTTCAGTTCTGTGGAGGCAAATGTGCGTGTGTCATGTGAATATATATCAGTTCTTGTTCAATCTCATTGAGAAAGCAAAACAAAAACTTCTTTGTTACATACCTTCACTACCGAGGCATGGGATGCATGCAAGTGTGCTGCGTGCTGAAAACACTACAGTCATGACGTATCTGTGTTTACTGAAAGTGTTCATTTGTGCGAGTTCCCTTCTGTGCCTCGTTTGTCGTAACGTTTGCCGGCGTGCAAGAGAGATAAGAATAACTCTAGAGGATGCTTCATTGGACGGAAATGTGGCCACGTTGGTTTATGAACATGAGAACAAAATGCGCTAGACAGATTATACTGTTTCTCTGGAAAGAAATCTTGTTGGACTTCTGGCCATAGCGAATGAATGAAGGATTTTATTTCTCTCTACGTGGCATTTTCAAAATTGTGCTTGGATGGTTGCGAAAAAGAATATTACCCATGCTGTCACTTCAAAATTAGACAGATTTAGATTGCGTGTCAGCAGCAGTCCTATGGACGCAGCCTGCCAGCCATTCGCAATGGGAGGCTGCGTCTGTACGGCAGCGGCGGACGCGCCACTGAATCGGTATATTGTGCTCATCGCTTCACGAGGCTATGTTCTTCGACGCTCGTACGGTGTGTACAAATTTGTCTTGCGTATAAACCAAGCACGATCATCTTCTACGTTACCTCAACTTTCACACGCGTGCTTGGATCCTTTCCGAGAAATAGCGAAGTTCGTGTTGTACGGCAAACTAAAATTTGGCTTGAACTTTATGTAAAACAGCACGCACTTGATACTACTGAACGCATCAAGTATCATTGAAAGAAACACTGCGCCTACGTATAATGAAATTCTGTGGGAAAAGACCACCATATGGCACTTGCAAAACAATGTCAGCTTTAAGATCACTTGCAAAATGTTAGTCCAAGTCTGACATGACCTTTCAAATATTTGTTTTCCTTTTAAAGGAAAAAAAGTTGTACACATAGAGATACATGTATCTATCAGCGATACAGATACGGTTGAAAGTTCGTAAGTTTGTAAACTAGTAACTGAAGTACTGAGAAAGTCGCATACTGCACGTAGGCTATCGAGAAACCGTGCTTGCTGTAGCTGTTTGCAGGTGGGTCGAGTGATCAGGTCGCTGATCTGTTACGAGTTCTACGAATGTTTTGTCTCCGCGGAAAGTTGAGAAACCTAAAAAGACAGTGTTAAACTGATTTAGTGCACACTTTTACTATCGAAATACAGGCACAAATGACAGTAAATCATGCAAAGAATCCCAGAAAGTGGTGTCAGTGATTATACTAATCTTTCGTTTATTCTCCCACCGAAAAAGCCCGGAGGGCGTCCTTTTCTATAACCACGACATTTCATCTTGGACAAGATGTATGCTCTCTTTTCATCCAGTCAGTTCTGCGTGCTCTGCGAGCGACTGATGAATCGAATAAAAAGGCGTGGGACAAACTGTGCAATAGTTACCCCGGTAAATAACCAATCGTCCATATCTGCTTCTCCCCGATAGGCGGCGAATGGATTCACGTAATGGGCGAAAAGAAGACAATAAGAGTGAATAACGCGCAAACAATACAGGTCAGACATATATCTGGTTTGAACTTGTGCGCCTCGTATACCGAAGCAACGACCTGCGGAACACTTTCTGCACGGAATAGGCGCTAAAGTAAGGTAATACAGAGCTTCTGATACATGTATTGCTTTCGACGTGCCACCTTAGAACACTTTACTGGAATACGTATACGTGCCGTCGTTTTTTCAAACTTGTCATGCACCACTGCGCAACACTGTGGTAATACTGCTTCCCCGAGACGTGTATAGGCTTGGAGTTTGAAGAAAGTGTTCGTGCTCGAATAATACGAACGGCCTGAATGCGCGCAGCGCACCTTGTGAGTGCAGTTGCAGTCTGTACTAACGAAAAGGGAATTGTTGGTTCGAGAGTCGGGGTGCGAACGACTCGACTCGAATGTCG